TGCATTCATCGTTAAAATAATGTTTTTTTCAATTCCAAGTCATCCTGGGTTACACTAATCTCGTCAGGTATCTTCCTGAACAAGAGTTCGATCAAACCCGTAGTTTTCAAGTAAGTTGTGTCGCCTATATGGATTCGATCATCCTCAAAGCTGATAGGCGAATCACCTATCAGTAATTTGTTCTTGGTGAGTTTACACACACCATAGGCGGTATCCAATTGTTCATTCTGCCTCGACAGCAGCATATTAAGATACCGTTGCATACGATCGTTCTGATCCACGGGTACGTCATCGTTATAGCCTTCTTCTTCGTCAACATGTTTACCTTCTTTTTCTTCGTCTTCATCTTCTACTTGCTCATCATCGACTCCCTTGAAAGAATCTTCAGAGACTTGAAGAATTCATCTGCCGTTCTAAACGTATCTTCCGCTTTTGCGTCTTGCTATATTTCATCCTTAATCTCGTCTTTGATAAGATTATGCTCCGGCTGAGATGCAGTCACTACTTTCTGCAATGAAGTCACTACCGGTTTCAAAACCTCACTCATCGTCTGTTCGACGTTCTCTCTACCCAATTTTATCATTCTATGCTTTTTGCGAATCGCATCGCTAGCTGTAGCGATTTGGCGTAAGACGTCTTTTTGCTCCTGAAGTTTTCTGCGTTGCATGTTGACGCTGTTGAATCCAAAACGTTACTGCATTCATTTTTTTCAATGATTACTCATTTATGCTCACGAAGCAATCGAATACTTTTCTGTATCTACCTCCGTCGAGGTCGCTGTAATTGTCGATCACGAGAAACCCATACTTATCACCGTTCCAACATGTAGAACACAGATCTTTAAACTGTGCGTAAGTCGCATCAGTGTTTACATGGTCATCGTACACGTGCATGAGATTCATTTCATCCTGCTTAAAAAGCACCAGCAGATTAGCATTGTCCCGTATCAGATGTTTGGGAATGCGAGCGTACGTCTGACAGAGATAGAAACAGTCAACGTCCCTGTGCCGTCCCATGCTGAAGAAGGCTCTAATGTTATCTTGCTTCTCGCAGGCAATGACGTCGTAAATAATTATCGAGTTTCGACGTGCCTCGTTCGGTGACAGCACTTGTTCGTGTTCCGTAAAGGGAAAGTACTCGACGCCGTCCACGGATGCGAGTAAACGTTCTAAAAACTTATACTTTGGCTGATCAAGCGATTTTGAGTATACGTAGACGTTTTCGAATCTTAATCCGTTGGTATGGGTTATGAGAGCGAGCAGTGCGTTCGTCTTGCCGCAATTGGATGGTCCGCAAAATACTGCACGTATACTGCCTGGCAGTAATTCGCCATGTCGCTTGACCTCATTCTTCTCCTTTACTCGCACCATTGTGTCAAAGTTCGTTACAGGTAGCCTGAGGGACTGTTTCTCGAACCTCATCTTGATCTTAACTAACGTGAAAACTATAAATGACGAGTTTATAAAGATCGCTGTTCAGTCGCAACTGTTTCACCGCAGGGACATGTTCGTGCATCCAAAGCGTAAACGCATTGGGAGGAAAAAATCTCATCGTAGCAGAGGATTAGTCAACAGGATCATCAACAGTCTACCCGTTGAGTTACATATACCCGGTTATCAGTACTGCGGGCCCGGTACGAAACTAGCAAAGAAACTCGCGCGAGGCGATCCGGGCATCAATCCCCTGGACGCAGCCTGCAAAGAGCACGACATCAGCTACTCAAAGAATCGAGAGAGTCTCGAACACAGAGGGGCTGCGGATAGGGTACTGGCCGACAAAGCTTGGAAGCGCGTTTTCGCTAAAGACGCGAGTCTCGCCGAGAAGGCGGCGGCCTGGTCCGTAGCGAACGTAATGGGTGCCAAGTCAAAACTGGGTATGGGACTCAAGAAGAAGAAGAAGCCAAAGACTGTAACGCTGAGGAAAGTCATCGAGGAAGCCAAACGATCGATGATTCCTAGCAACGATGCAGGAGTAGCTATCAGATCTGCTCTCAAGGGTGCACAAGCTGCCGTCAAACGAACAGGTGGAAAGCGCAACGTCCTCACGTCGTGGGTTCTACCCGTGCCGTTCAAAGTCGGAGACTTCCTGCCGTTTCTCGTCCCTGTATTTGTGGGTCTCAGTGCCGCTGGAGCGTTGGCCGGCGGTGCTGCATGTGTAGCCAAAGCCGTGAACAATGCTAATGCAAACAAGGAACAATTGAAGGAAAGTCAGAGGCACAACGAGACGATGGAAGCCATAGTGTTAGGCAAATAACTGTACTTGAAACCCTACAGAAAAGGACTAGGCCTTCATCTGAAGCGAAAAAACTTGAAGTGAAACTACCACGCCGAGCGTTGACCGATACGGATCTGCTAAAGGAACGCGAAGATCATGAAGATTCCACATTTTCGCGGAGTCTTCATGCGGAACGCTATGCCGAAGGGTGGACCGTACAAGTACGAGTCAACAAACATCAATCCCGACGACGAAGATGGTCCAGGAACACATTGGGTCGCGTACAAGAAGCTGAACGATCGAGTCGTTTATTTCGACAGTTTCGGCAATCTTCGACCGCCGCTAGATCTTATCGGATATCTCGGTTTTGGTAGTGTAAAGTACAATTACGAGCGATATCAGGAGTACGACACTTTTGCATGTGGACACTTGTGTCTAAAGTTTCTATGCGGGCAATTAAATCGTAAAAACAAGTATCGTCTATATAAGCTTGCTATGTAATTTCACAAGGTCAGTTGCGCATTTGCAATCATGGAGAATTCGTTCACGTTAACTTTAGCAGGCACATCCTCCATACTGGAAGCCGAATACTTCCCTCCTATCGAGTTTTCCCCGTACAAAAATTACGCTCTGGGACTAATCGAGTTGCTGACCTTCAATTCGATTCGCAACGTGGACACTGATCACAAGAAACTCTACGTGGGGCATGAAGTTATCACTATACCCACTGGTAGCTACGAGATCGAAGATATCGAAAACTACGTGCATAGCGCGTTGACGGGGAAGAGCATCGTCATTCAGATTAAACCTAACAATAATACGTTGTGCAGCGAAATTACGTGTAACCGTGATGTCGCTTTTCGACCCAATGATTCCATAGGTCGCTTGTTGGGTTTCACTCAACGCGTTCTGGAAGCTAATAAATTACACACGTCCGACGTACCGGTCGCCATTCTCAAGGTGAACGCCCTACGAGTCGAATGCAACGTCACGACTGGCGCTTATGGAGCGCAATTTTCATGGTATATCCTGGAGCGCTGGGGACGTTGCTTAGATCAAGCTGGAAACATTCTTCGAGTCATCTTGCAAAATGCATCTAAGATCTCCGTAAAAGGATTGGAGAAGAAAGTTTGCTTGGGAGCTTTCATTGGACGATCCGAGCACATCGTGGATCTGGGAGATCTGGGATGCCCTTCGTTGCAAAAATTGCGCAAAAACTTGCTTACTCGATGTACGAATCATCATGCTCCACATTTTAATTGCTCAACTGAAAAAGTGAAATTTTTAGGGAACTGGTTGTCGGAATGTAAATTTTTTGATTATGAATAAAGACATAAGATATAATAAGATGTATATTTATTTAACACGTATACATAGTAGTTGAAGCACGGGTACAAAGTTTATAGACATTGGAACTCGATCTGGTTGTACCATCCGCCGAGATAACGCATGAACACTCGATTCTCCTCACAGGCTTGCATCATCTTCTTCAATAGATCCTCGTCGTCATTCAAAGCTTTAGCCATCGTTGCAGGTAGAAACGTCGAAAAGCTGTCTTCTACATTGAGGATCAGTCTCGTTCCATATTTCGTTTGAACTTTTCCTATTCTGGTGATATTGTATTCTTTCTGGGGTTCCAACTCAGCCAATTTCTTTGTCGGAAGATAGTCATCCAAACTACCGACTTTGTTAATTGTTGAGAAATCCATTTTTTATTGTAGATGAAGTTTTTTTAGATTTCGTAGAAGGCTGTTATAATTTCTTTTAGCTTCGATCAAATGTTTCACTTCCGCGATGTTCCTTAATAGTAACTGTATTCGAACTCTGAGCTCGCGTTGTTTCCTCTTATTTAACATCGGTCAAACTGTCACAGCAAACTAACGAAGACACGTTCAGCTCCTCCTTTTATAGGACACTCTTAAGGGCTAAAATGGGGATCGGAGGTTTCGAAAATTTCTAGAAATCGAATCGCCGACAGAGATTCTTGGAATCAATGTCAAGGTCGATGCATCTTCCAAATGGAGCGACTTAGATTCTAGAACATTCGGACGAACCTTAGCCCTTCTGCTACGAAGTTGTGTCGCGCGCTTACGTATCTTCTACGAGTAATTTGACACCTCGGTGGATGAGGGACTGCATTCTCGACGCACGACTCTGCGCGATAACGTTCGGCATTGCGGATTTGAACAACCGATACATAGATTTTTCTAGAATGACTTTGACCCCACCACCGCGCTTGCGAGAACCGTCTGAAATCTACACGGATAGGGAGGGCGGAAGGGGGTCCATCGAAGCTTCTTGAAGGCTCTCCGGGGTGGTGGGCAAGGGGCTCCATCAAAAGGTCGCGCACGAGGACCATCGGCTCTGGGAGCGATCTTCAGCGACTTAGCACGGACACGAACGTCTAGAAGGTTCTAGAAGCTTCTAGAATGTTCTAGAAGGTTCTCGATCGTGTACGATTCCTAGAATCGAACGAAAATTCTTGGAATCGAGGGGTCTTGATGACGCCACTTCCGGAAATCGTAGAGCTCACGACGGCAACTTAGCACGGACACCCACCTTCGAAGGTTCTAGAGTGTCGGTATATGTCGGTTACAGGAATCTTGAGCCAGAACTCCCCAACGTGCAGTTACAAATACAAGCAAGCGAGGGTTTAAATGAGTCCTAGTAATCCTGCGATAGTAATACTAAAACATTACTGGTAAGGAAAACTTATAAAAGGAAGATCATAAACGGAATTACTGTTATAAAAATATAAGGAACAAAAATGAGAAAGAATAGCTCACCAATCAGGCACTGGGCTCGCTGATGAAATCCAGCGATCGCTTCGTCTTTCCACCAGCGATGAAGATTTCCATCCTTGTCGAAGAGTCGACCTTTGTCGTCGAAGCCGTGCGTTATTTCATGTCCAATGACTACACCGATGCCGCCATAATTTAGACTGCGTGGAAAGAATCTATGGTAGAAGGGTGGCTGTAATATGCCAGCTGGAAACACTGCACATAAAAATAGTAACGAAAAATTAATCGATTATAATATAAACAAATATATCGAATTTAAATAATAAATATGAGAATATATGTAAATTATTATGCACGATTATATCAGTATATAATGAAAATTGTAGCAGTGCATCATTGTGCGTCATGATTTGCAAAACATATAACTCCCCTTTTGTGTTAGCTAGTCCAGACTATAAGTCTGTATAAATCCATCTTTAAACGTGTTTGCTAGTGAATGACACTTTAAGTGATCCACAGTCAATAATAATAATTTAATATTATTAAAGATTAGTATTATAAATTAAAAAACAATTGGTTTGGATGTCGTTCGAAACTGTGTTTCACACACGCACGCACACACAACTATTGTCGGATGACGAGTGCATAAGGATCTCTTCCCACACGTTGCAAGTCGTCGTACCAAACGAAATTGCTAGTTGGTCGAGTCACTAAAACTGAGCATGTCTTCGTGGTTTAACAGATCTGCCTTAAATTACATAAATTGAATTTATCAAAATTCGTAATGTAAGAATAAGTTGTGTAGTCTCGATAACCGCAGGAATTCCGGTTATTTAACGAACTTCTGAAGATAGTACCTATAGAAATTACGGACATTTTCATTTATATTTTCGAAGATCAGAAACATGCGATATTTAATTGAATCTTGGGTTGGTAAATTTCTAGGAAATTTTGGCGCAAATGCAAAATAGCTCGTTAGCATGTTGTTTGGGACTGAATAAACAGATGTTTCTTTGTACTATATGAAGAAACTTTATTTTCATACCTTTGACTCAGTCGCCATATTGCTAACTGGCTCACTCCTTATTTTTACAACAGAGGCGTTGTAGTCGGGAACACATGTCCTGCTTTAAATCAACAGGCGTATATTATTGAGTCAAAGGTTTCAAACCACGATATCTAAAAAAAAACTGCAAATTTTGTTGAGATATTCTGTGTACAAAGATTTTTGCTAAATTAAAAATTATAATCGTAATTTCTTTCGTACTCTAAACAATTTACAAATCATGCACAGAAGTTTAGGAACCTTTTAAAATACTAGGTTTCTACACGGAATGAATGTTTCATTACAAATTTCTGAGGTGTCACGACGGATCAAGCTGGCTGAATATTACCCTGATCCGGGCTACATAAAATATTCCTAAGAATTGCCTTATTAGGTTAGCCTGACGTCACTGCCTCAGGGCCATATCAAGTAATTGTTGGGCATGCCGCTATAAGATCAGCGTCACATAATTTGGATCCGAGTCAGAGCAGGTAATAGTAAGGCTTACTTGATAAGGAAGGTCGGATACCACCACGATCAGAGCCGGATCAGCTACTGCGATGGTTTCCCCATCCGGACAGCCTGATGTACCTGACATCAGGGTCTAATTAAGTAACGATACGGCATGCCTGATAAGGTTAGTATCTGATTACGATCATCCGGGCCAGCTCAGGCATCGATAGGGCAAGCCGAATCAGGCACTGGACTGGGACCAAATCAGGCACTTGACCGCGGCCGGATCAGGTATCTGATCAACGCCGGATGCCAAATCGCTTTACATGCCAGAACCGGGGCTGACGCGATGCCGATTTTGGGTCGGATTAGACAGACAAGGCACGCCTAATCTGGGCCGGATTCCACCCTGGATAAATTTCTGCTCGGGATATTATCTATACAGGATGTCCCACGACTTATTCCCCAACGGGCACTGGCATATTCTCCGTTGAAAATAGAACAAAATGCAATTTGTCCGAATGAAATCGGTTGCAGCGTTCTCGAGAAAATAAATATTAAAAATTTAGAAATATCATCATGTTTCACGTTTAATAAGTCATAGTCTAATGATAATATTACAGTTTCTACTTGAGTGAATGTATTCACAGAAGCAAACGCCCGCCACTTTCCTTTTCTACTGCTATTGTTTTCTTTTGATGATGATTGGAACTTACTTAAAATGATGATATTTCTAAATTTTTAATATTTATTTTCTCGAGAACGCTGCACCCGATTTCATTCGGACAAATTGCATTTTGTTCTATTTTCAACGGAGAATATGCCAGTGCCCGTTGGGGAATAAGTCGTGGGACATCCTGTATAGATAATATCCCGAGCAGAAATTTATCCAGGGTGGAATCCGGCCCAGATTAGGCGTGCCTTGTCTGTCTAATCCGACCCAAAATTGGACAAATTGCATTTTGTTATATTTTCAACGGAGAATATGCCAGTGCCCGTTGGGGAATAAGTCGTGGGACATCCTGTATACTGTGAAGAGGTGGATTTCACCCGTCGTGTCCTCGGCGGAAAATCACGCCAAAACGCGAGAGTGGCATACAGCCACGACAAAAGTCCAGGCAGGATCCACAGACCGAAAGGGCGTAGGAAAGATATGGCACATTATTTTATTATTTTCTTTTGTTTTGCTGTGTACTCTGCCGGAGTTCAAATAGATCGCTCGCTCGCCAGGTCCGTGGAGACGCGGAGAGAGAGAGAGGAAAAGCCAGCTGGAGTTCCAGAAGGCGTGTGCAACGCGGGAGAGATGTGACGTCACGCGGCAGAGACTCAACCACGACGACTGAACGTAGCGCACACAGCGCCTAATGAATGAGCACCGCTACCGATCCCTATGCACTCGCGCCTACCGTCAGGTTTCGCTTAAATTATATTTCCGCGAGTTGGGAATCCAGGGACGCCTGGTGCACCCTCGCGGGAGGACGAATGAAACTCGTCGTAAGACCGATATGTATGAATTGTCTACGAGTTATTATGCAAATTATTAATTGCCGCGATGACATCTTCGAAACTGGCGCGTGGTGAAGATTCTGGGTTGAATGATTGATCGCCATCCATTAGCCTAAGAGAGGGGGTGCTATCCTTCACGCGAAGACAAAGCGTGTGAAGGTCGAAAATCAATCTTGATTGGATACGCGACATCGCTGCACGTTTTTTGGTTTTCCTTTGTTTGGAAGTTTGTACGCGAGTGCATTTGGCCGAAGCCTGGGTTTTCTTTGAATACGCGAACAAGCGAACGCCACGGTAAGCGAATGCACTTGACTTTTGTGAGCGACGTGTTTTCGTGCAGATCTTGGTATTTGATTTTGTTTGTTCCGTGATTTGACTATGCATGCAGAGAACACGTGGAGGGGTTAACCCTCAATTCGAGTAAGACCAAGGCATGCAGATCCGTCGACCGGCAGGGTTTATTAATTGATTTGTTTGTTTCGATATTTCGGATTAAAAATTGTGTAACGTGTCTCCGAATTGTTTCGTGTCGTTCCGCCCGTAAGGAACTTGTAATTCTTGATTTTGCGACGCGTAGCACGCGTACAGATCCTTGACGGTCTTTGACAGATTAGCCGCGTCACAATTTGATTTTGTATTCGTCAGGTACGCGACGTACCAAGTAATATTTTTCTTTTAATTGTACTTTTGTTATCGTCTGTTGATATGCTGTTCAATTACTAATTTTTTTAAAATTTAATTATCAATTCGGTATTGTACGAAATCGTGGCGCTTGGCGCCACCGATATTCTTTAATAAACCGAACCTTTTGACGTTATATCGAAGTTTCCGGATTCTTTTGTTAGTTGTGTGATCGTCTGACTCATCTGATCTATTGTTTTGAATCCCGACGCCTTCGCGTAGCTGAGTTAGCCAAAGAAGGCATGCAGAAACAAATCGTAAGAGGTTATACGTGATTCCCGTTTTGGAACCTGGTGCTCAACAATACCGTAGGTATTTCACGTTGAAGTTTATTAGCCTCTGAGTTGCCTGGAACGCGTAGGAATCGCGTAAGTTGTGCGCCGGTCGGTCTTGCATTTTCCAGTGAGACTCGATCGCGTAAAATACGTCACAATATTTAAGAGCAACTTACGAAAATATACTAAAAAGTAAGCATGTCACGTTAGCTTTTACTGAAGTATACAGTAAACATTTTGAAACTTAAAAATATGTAGTGTGAAACTATAGCTTTTACCTTGTTGAATTTAAAAAGTTATATAAAACAGCCGAATTATCTTGTGCGCTTCATTCAATTTTACCGAATTATATGTTTTGTTGTATGTGGTAATCAATACGCGTGCAATCGTAACAGTTTTGAAAACGGAAGTAAGTACCAGCGCGCACCGGCAAAAAATTATAAAAGCGGAAACTCATGAATATAAACATATAATATATAGAAAAAACACACGAATAGTCTCGTTCAGTCTCATTGCTGCGGTGATGCGCTCTACAGACGTACAACCCAACCATAAGCCTAAGCTTTATTTAAAACAATATCCCGTCACCAAAATAAAAGGTTACCAAGGAGAAAACTTCGTATCATTTTGTTTTGGCGCATAGTCAATTCAGAAAAGAAAAAAAATGTGAATATACTAGTGAGAAAAAGGGCGAAGGTGATAAGCAAGTCAGTACACGGGGGAAACCGAAGGAAGAAGGAACAGCGAGAAGTGACCTCCAGAAAACAGTAAGACGACTGAGTGGACATCAGGTGCGACCGTGCGTATGGGCCTTCAATAAAAGATGGCGACGTAGGATGGACCCGCGTATCAGTGCGTAACTCCATACTGTATAACATAGAAGAATGCACGCATGGCTTTGCACCACATCACGGAACCATGAGCAGTGGCGTAGTCGGAGCCATGTGTTCACGAAGGAGATGGAGCTGTACAGATGGAGGCCAGATGCGAGTATGACTGTGAGCAGTGGCGTGGCTGATGCCGGATCGGGGTCCGAGCATCGACTATGTGTCCATACCGCCTGGTGCGCCGCTGTGAGTCCTTCCGGCAACACGATTAACGGCTTACAGGACTAAACCGTGAGCAGTGGCGTGGACGGTATCGGGCGGCATTCCAGGCGCCAATCATGTGTCCGCAACACCCGGTAAAGTTGGGGCGACATACATGATGACGAGAGGATACGAACACACAGAAATGCTACGCCACGAGATGCACGATTTAAGGATATCAAGATGTATAAGATTGTCTAAAATAAA